CCCGCCCGGGGTGCTGGGGAAGGCGGTGGTGCCTCACCGCCATCCCGCTTCGCAGCCCCCAGGAGTTCCTGTGGGAGAAGGAGGGCAGCGACGTGCCCCTGCAGCTGAGCTCTGACAGCGTCCTCATCTTCCCCTTCCTCAACAAGAGTGACAGCGGCACCTACGTCTGCACAGCCACCAGCTCCATGGGCAGCGTCGTGGCCAAGTACAACCTCGACGTCAGCGGTAAGTGGGGCCGCAGGGCACCTGGCATCACCCAACTTCTCCCAGCAGCTGCTGGATGGCACAGCCACCTCCATCCTACCTGTGTCTCCCTGTGAAGGGGCGCACGGATCCAGGGAGGGCTGTGGTGGAAGGGGAAGCTTTGTGGTGCAGAGTGGGTGTGTGCATGCAGCTGAGTCCTGGCGCACTCACTGGCAGAGTGCTGCATCCCCAGCTCCTCTGGCCACATCCAGCCTCCCTGTCCTTCCCTGCACTGTGCAAGGCTGCTGCCTGGGGCCGAGAAGGGCAGAGAGCAATTTGGGGGAGTCAGGGCAGGGACATGGCATGGCCCAGGCTGAGCTCAGTCCCTGTTGCCTCCAATGGGGAGTGGGAGAGGCTGCAATGGGGGAACTGCAGGGGCTGCCGGCAGGACTCTGCTGGAGTCTCTGGGATAGGAGGAAAGGCCAGTGCTCCTGAGCCTGTTGCAGGAAGCCTCTGCGTGTTGCCACCACAAGCCAAAAAGGATTTCCAGACGGCACCGACCCCTCCAAACCACGAGGTGCCCTGCCAGCCCTGTCCCAAGCTTCTGGAGACAGGCCCCATTGCTTGCCCTGAGCTGCTGGACCCGCAGGCTTGCCTTGTGTCCCACGTCCCCAGAGTGTATCACCAGTCGACACCCATCCTCGCGTGGGAAGGGGCAGCATGCGCCGCCTGCTGGCACGGTGCCATCCCCTCACCACCTCCCCCTGCCCCAGCTGTGCTCTGCCACCGTGTTCGTTGTCATTGTGCCCTGCTATGTCCAAGCGCCATGTGTCACACGTGGAGCAGAGCTGTGTGCTGCGTGGGGCTGCGAGTGCTTCTCCAGCCCATCCCTGGCTGGTGGCGGTGCTGCCCTGACTCCTGTGCTCAGCACCCAGCCACTTGCCCAGCAGCTTTCCCATGTTGGTAGGAGCCTGTTTCCCTGCGGTTTTGGCCTTGGATTTGGGGTTATCCTCCTCTTCTTCCAAATCTCTTGCCTTCTCTCTCCTCTCTACCAGCCTTGGACTTTCCATCTTCCAGCACTTGTACATGCTCCAGGTCTTCCCTTTCCCGTCTCCTTTCCCTCCCCTCCTGTTTCAGGCACTCTCGGCATCCTTCCCCTCCAACATGGCAGCAATGGCACCTCAGGCACCCTGTCCCCCTGAGTCCCTCTCCTCTGCCTGCCCAGGATAAGCCCCTAAATGCCCAACCCTGTGCAGTCATCCTTTGTCACCCCTTGTGTCCCCCCCATCCCCCTGGATGCGGGGTCTGCGCAGGGCGCTGATTCCTGAGCCCGGCTGTGAGCACACAGCAGTACCCAGAGCCTTCCGCACCCATCCAGGAGCAGAGCAGCCCCCAGGGTGCTCAGCAGGTATCCGCAGGCTCACAGCAGCATCCGGGGTGCTCGACACCATCCATGAGCACACGGCACCCAGAACACCAGTGTCCCTCACCTGCTTGGTGTCACAGCCCCCGGCAGAGAAGCTCCACATATAGGCTTGATTCGCCCTTGTCAAATCCCCCCTCTTTTTCCCCAGAGCTACTCGGGTCTTGGGCACCATCACTGGAGCAGCCGCCTTGCCCGGCTGAGCCCTCGAGCCTGCCTGCCACAGCAGCCACCTTGCTTGGCTGTGAGGGAGAGCGGGGACGGAGCAGTCCCCGAGGGTGTGCATAGGAAAGTGCAGGTGGCACCTCACAGTGGGTGACACTTTCCGGCTACTGCAGTCCCAGGGCTCCCAGGCAGGAGGGTCCCAATGGGGTCCCTCACAGAGGAAGGGGTGACCAGGGGTGCTGGCAGGGTAGGAGATGGAGGGAGATGTTCACAGCAGTGTGTCCCAGAGGACAGTGGCAGGAGAAGAGGAGTGGGACCCGTGGCCAAGAAAGGGGTCATGGAAGGAGCCGCTGAGAAGAACGGGTCCCATCAGGCTGGGGGGAGCCGGGGTCCCCTCCGATGGGCTCTGTCACGCCTCACTGGCACCTCCCGGGGTTGATTCGTGTCCCTGTGTTTTTGTTGTCCTCCCCAGATCTTTCCCAGCTCCCCACCCCACACGTTCACTCCACTCCAGCCCCTCCGCCGGGCCCTTCCCAGCCCATCTCTCATGCTTCCATGGCCACCGCTTCATCCTTCACTCCAGCTCCCATGCAAGGTACCGTAAGCTCCTTTTCTGTCTCTTTACGGACCCGCTGCTCCCCAGCCCGGTGGGAGAAGCTCCACAGGAGGATGGTGGCCCAGCCCTGGGCCAGGGGCACCCTTGCCACATCCCAGGTTCCCAGCCAGGCTCCAGTCCCTGTGCAGCTGCTTGTTGGCATGTGTGGACTCTGCAGCCACCATCTCAGCACTTCAGGGTGGTGGTATGCAACAGAAAGAGCTGAGGCCCCAGAGCCTGGGCTGCATAATGGTCCTTCAGCTCTTCCTGGCAGGTTGTGGCAGCAGCTGCCTGTGAGCTGCAACCTGTGCCTTGTGTCCGTGTGAGATGTCCCTCCATCCTGTCGCCTCCCCTGTTTGTCTTTCCCACCCTGTCCTGTCCAAATGCCTACTCTGAACGTTTCTGTGGCTCTCTCCCCCAAGAGCTGGTGGGGCACAATGAGAGTGGAGTGGAAGGAGGATTTGTCCCTGTGTACCAGGGCTAACGCAGGATCCCAGCACAGACTGCGCTACAAGATGCGGCTGACTTGGGACTGGCCTTGGGGTCCCACCTTCCTTGGGGTGCCGTCTCCTCCTGGGGTGCAGTGTATGGCCATGCCAGCCTGCACGTCACCTTCCTGCTGGCATGGCGCAGGGGAAGAGTGAGCCAAGCCTGGCTCTACCATGTGCTCAGCCTCCCCTTTTGGGGCAAAAATTCCACCGTGAAGGATGGGGCAGTGGGATCATGGCTGTGCCTGAAGGCAGCAATACCACGAGCTGCACAAAGCATGTTGCCGGTGCTGCTCCCTGGGACACATCGCAGGCAGCTGGGCACAGGGATGGGTTTGCCCATCACAGCTCTTCTTGGCTGCCTTCTCACCCAGGCAGGACTCCCAGCGCAGCCATTGGGGCTTTTCTTGGCTGACTCCCCACAGGAGCTGGCACTGATGGCCACTGCTTTCCCCTCCTTGCTTCCCCCACTGCCTTCCCTTTTCTTGCACCTACCTCGACAGCTGTCATCTGCAGCAGGATCAAGCTGATGTCACTGAGCCGAGCAGGATTGGGCCCTCCAAGGCACGCACCTGCAGCTCTGAGCGGTCTGTGGGACAAGCAGCAGCCTCTGCCGCGCAGCAGAGTCCACAGCATCTCCTTCTCTCTGTTTTCTCTCCCTTTGCTGTCTGGGCAGATGCGAGCCCGGTGCCCTCAACCTCCAGCACGTACCACGCGGTGATCGGCGGGGTGGTTGCCGTCATTGTCTTCCTCCTGCTCAGTCTTCTCATCGTGTTGGGACACTACCTGATCAGACACAAAGGTACGGGGTGGGGGAGCTGCACATGGAGGGGCACGGAGCCAAGACCCCTGTGCCACGTCGGAGCAGGCAGTGCAAGGTGTGCTCACCCCTCGGTGGGTCTCTGGGAGCAGGGCTACATCCCCAAAGCGAGTGGGCAGCGTGGGGCAGGGGTGAAGAGAGGCAGCTCCCCGTCCTGCAGACCTGCCCCATGTCCAGAGAAACCCAGTGCAGCCAACGGAGCCCTCCTGGTTTGGGGGCTGCTGGCCATGCCCATGCTGGCACCAACCCCAGCGTGGAGATGTCACAGTGAGTCCTTGGAGCTGGGCAGCACCAGGTGGAGGCAGCTTCTACCCCATTTCTCCATCTCTCCTTTATGGCTTGGTATCCACTGCTCCGGGACTACCCATGCCACTGTCCCCGTCTGTGCCTGACCCCACCTCCTCCCTCTCCCTGCCCTCCTCGCCATCCCTCGAGCCCTCCACCTTCCTCTTCCTCCTTCCCCTCCACCATTTGCATCTCCCCATCCCTGGACTTTTCATCCGCCCGGCAGGTATGTGCATAAGACACGGGGAGACGGTCACATCCAGACATCGGCAAAACCCAGCAGAGGTGATGTGTGAGTAAGAGCACCCCATCCCTGCCCTCTGAGCCCAGCAGAGCTGCCGCCTCTGCCCTATGCCGTGCCGGCTCCAGGGGCAGCCGGGAGCTGGAGCCTCCTTGCAGATGGCAGTTTTGCAGAGAAACCCTCCAGTTTTCTGAGGGGGAACAGGGACAGGGATGCAGGGAGGGGCAGACAGTGGGGAGGGCAGGAGATGTGCCTGGAAATGCAGGCAAAGGCTGCTGCCTGCAAAGGGGAGGCAGTTTCACCCTCTGGCTAGAGATGACTGCAAAAGCCTTGAGCAACCCAGGCGAGGCTCGGTCCCCGGGCAGGGCTTGTCCCAGGGAAACCGGTGACTTTTCCATTTCAGGCCAAACCCAAAGGACTTTCCTCTCGCCTCCACTTTCCAGCCAGCCCTCGCGCTCTGCCACTGGGGCCCCTCCAGGCAGCCCAGCCTCCCCCTGCTTGCGTGGGAGCAGGGTGCCAGGAGGGCCTCCCCGTGACGCTGAGCCCCTCTCCCCACCCAGGTACCTACTTGACCCACGAGGCCAAGGGGTCAGACGACGCCCCAGATGCTGACACAGCCATCATCAATGCAGAGGGTGGCCAAGCCAGCAGCGACGACAAGAAGGAGTATTTCATCTAGGGGTGTCGGAGGGAGTGAGAAATGGAGCCAAAAAACCCCGATGGAAACGGAAATCAGACCACAAACCCCACTCAACCCAACAGATTTTCTCTCGCGCCCGGCATGGGCAGATGGACAGACAGAGGGATGGCGGGACAGAGAGCAGAGAGCGACCGGCCTGAGACATGATGCTTCTTCTTGAACTTGTACAAAACGTTATTATTACGAACAGCAAAAGCCCTGGCCCCGTTTGCTTGCTTGCACCTCCATCCCTGTGACCAGCGCTCGCGCAAAACACAGACGAACCAGTGAGTGAGCAACTTTCCTTCTTCCTTTGGACCTTTGCTTTGGTTTCGTGGCTGCTCTTTGCTTTGGGCCCTTGGTTGGGATGTTGGGCTGGGGTCAATGTAGCTCTTTCCTTTGTTTCCCTCCATTTTGGTTTCTCTGACATCCAAGGATAAAATCAGTTCCAGGCTCTGGTACAAGCTCGGGGCAGCTGGGCAGCCCCTCTGTCACGAACGCTTGCCCTGTGCCTCCCACCGAGAGCCAGGACCCACGTTCCCATTGCTCCCCCCAACCTCAGCTGCTGTGCGATGGCCCCAGCCCCAGCTGGGACAGGGAGCGCGGCCGGTGGGACAGGAGCGGGATACCGACAGGCAGCATCTCTGCGTTCTTGGCACGCGGCTGGGGTCAAGTGGGGAGGGACCCCAGGCCCCTGCCCTGATTTTATCCTTGGTGGTTCTTGTTGAACAGTGTCCATTCGGGAGGAGAGCTGTCCTCGTGCAGTAGATGTGTGAAGGGGGGGGATGAGCTTCCAGGGTGGGAACCGCTGAGGCCCCCAGAGAGACTGGGAGCTGCCAGGCACTGCAGCTCCCCGGTCCCACCCCAGCGGGAGGGGGGAGGGCAGAGGTTTGGGGGCGAATCCAGAGAAAAAGCCCCAACTTTACAAATTCTCAGATTGGAAACATCAATTTAAACCATCTATTGAGATGTTCAGTGCAGGAGGCCACAGCGCTGGGAGCACCGGGCAGAGCCAGGAGAGCCAGTGGGCCTGTAGCCATCGCCACTTCCTTCTTCGCTGGGCTGGCTCTGGGGCACCCAGAGCCTCTGGAAAGGTAGTTTAGACCCTGAGGGTGGCTTCAACCAGAGCTGACACAGCTCATGGCACCACGGGAGCTGAGCTGAGCTGGAGACGACCTGCTCTCCAGCGCAAGCAGCCTAGAGCGGCATGAGGCCTGGGATTCCTCTGGCCAAGGAGATGTGCAGAGAGGGTCTCCACCGGGGTCTGCTTCTTGGAGCTGTCTGTCCCCCTTCCCTCCCCAGCCCCTTCCCAGGGCAGGTGTGAGCTTGGAAAAGGCCGTTTCCCTCTCAGCTCCAAGGGCTGCAGCCAACAGTGGCCGAAATGCCTGGGTTTAGTGTCTCGGTAGTTCGGGGATCTCCAAGAAGGCTTGGAGGTCTTGCCCTACCTCCTACCTGTTTCATTATCTCTTCCAAGACAAAAATAAGAAGCTTTCCCAACCTCTCCAGCATGTCCCCAGGGTCCGCTTGGCCCACCCCAACCACACACGGATGGGGCTGCAGGGAGCTATGCACTCCAGCATCTGCAGAACACCCCACATCCCCCAGGGAGCCAGGCCCCATCCCTCACCCTTGGGATGAGGTTTTCCAGCTTCCCAGGATCCCAGCATCTCTTGGTCTGGACACAAGGGGTTTGCAGGAGCTGTCTTTCAGCTGGGAGCCCCTTCGATTTCGGGTTGTCTGGAGGAGGAGAGGCCTTTGGGAAGGAGCAGAAGCCCTTGGTGGTGTGGGTAACCTCACCTTGGAGGTAGAGGAAGAGCTTGTGTCCTCCACCATGGGGTACCAGGTGCCCATGGGGCAGGTAGTGCTGCTCCCATCCAGATGCTGCGAGCACATGGCGCAAGGAGGATGCCCACAGGAAAACCATCGCAGAGCAAGCAGGGCTGGAAGGGGGCTGGGGCAAAGCAGGCGAGGAAGAAGAGGCATGGCTCGGTGGCAGGCACAGGGTGTGAATGAGTGATGCATTTGTGGCACATGCACAGATGTGATTAGGTTCACTGTGGCTAAATCGTGTGTCAGGACCATGCAGGCAGCAGGGTGTTAGCACCACAAGAGAGAAGTGCACAAAGCCTTCGTGGTACATGGCGAAGAAAACCTGCGGTTTTCTTGACGTTGTTCCTCCCTTCCTATCTCTTTGGAGGAGGACGTTGGCCTGGAGTCCCAACGGTAGCTCCGAGCTCGTTTCAAGGGATGCAACCGTTGCTGCCGGAGATAACACTGCAGATGTCGATGCTGTTAACTACTCCACTGCACACTGAGCATGTATGAATGTGCGACCTGACGCTTCACTGAAGATCTTTAACATCCACTATCGAATAGAAGTAATTCCTTCAAATAAAAATGCAAGGACATGTTTTCAAGTACAATTTAATCTCATTGTAAGTCTACGTGCTGTAGATCGTTACAAAGAAAGCCCTAACCCAGGGGTCTGGGAGGGAAGGGGGTTAACTGGTCCCTAGGGAAAAGGAGGTGGGAGCTGACGTCGGACAGGGAGTTTTGTGCCCCTTTGAGGCAGCGCAGGCATGGCCGTGGCCAGTTTCTCCCCAGCACCGCTGCTCCAGAGCTGCTTCAAGGGCTGGCACCAGTGGTCACCGCTTTGCCCTGGTGAGAGAAGTCAGGATTTGGCCTTTTTGAGATGCGGCATGGTATGGGACATGGCAGGATGCAGCACGGGGAGGACCGGGCACAGGCAGGGCATCGGGGTGGGACCTGCTGCCTGCAGCAGATGTCAGCAAAGGATGGGCCGGGTCTCACCCCAGGTGGGCCCATTGTCCTGCTACAGCCATGGCGAAAGGCTGAGCTATGGCCCCAGGTGTCACAGGTCCTGGGAGTGGTGGGAGCATGAACATGAGGCTGCATCTGCAAGCAAGAGCCAAAGGGCTTTGGTAGATGCAAGGGAGCAGTAGACCCTCTGCCACAGGCATGAGGGCAAGGGAGATCCTGTGTCACATGTGAGGGGTGACAGATACACCAGGTCACACGTGTGAAGAGGGAGATGCTGTGGGATGAGTGCGAGGGGTGATGGGGACACCGTCATGAGGCTGCAATGGGGCACGTCGCGGTGTGGGAGGGTGCAGTGATGGTGCACCCACCATGCTGCCGGTGGAAGGAGAGAGAGGACACACCGTGTCATGAGCATGATGGAGAAACCACTTTGCGAGTTTGAGGCCCTGATGAATAGATCATGTCATGGGTGTGAGGTGTGGTGGGAAACACCATTTTGGGAGCCCAGGGGCTTGGTGGGGTACGCCGTGTGTTGAGTCTTCTGGGGTGGTGAATACACCATGTCACAGGTGTGCAGGGGAACAGGTACACAGCCATGAGTGGGGGCACGATGGGTGTCAGTTGTGAGCTGCACCACACCATGAGTGTGTTAGGGTGATGTGAAGGGGGGGTTGATGGAATACACCCTGTGTGGGTCTGAGGCATGTGCTGTTGTACGTGCGTACAGCGCTGTGGTACACCGGCTCAGGGCTGTCAAGGAGGGTTGGGTACACCATGTCAGAAGTACAAGAGGTGATGTGGGTCGTGTGAAGGGGTGAGAAGCTACACCTTGATGCTAGCATGGGGGTGACACCACACACCATCAGCGGCACGGGGAGGCAGCGGGGTACATGGTGTCACTGATGTGGCCGATGGTGGATGCGCTGCACTGCGGAGGGAAGAAGCAAGGGGGCAGGCAGTGCTGCTGGGGCAGTGACATGAGGGACACACTGCCACAGGGGAGAGGGGACACCGGGCTCCTGTCCCTCCCTGCCGGTGCCCAGAAAAGCCAGGCGGTGTCACCACGTGCCTGGGAGAGCCCAGGGCACCAGCCACCTCCCTGGGCCTTGGTGGCCCCTTCAGGAGCAGGGGGTCCTCGTTAGCCACACGGGCAGGGGACCTCCAGCCCCATGTCCACGCTGTGCCACCATTGTCACCTGTGCTGGGCCCGGGGCATCCAAACCAGGATGCGGCCAGGGCCGGTGCTGGGGAACCGAGGAGAATTCAGGACCCTGTGGTCCTCGTTTGCAGCCAGGCCTGTTCACTCCCGCTCACCAGCCCTGGCGAGGCTCCGGCCACTTCCCAGCTGGCACTGAACTCTCAATAGACATGAAAGCCATATTTGTAGGGAGCTCTGGAGACGCCATGGGGTGGCAGCAAGGCAGGGCAGAGGATGGTCTGTGTTGTTGTGCTGTGTTCTTGTATGTACATAAAAGGGAGACAACGAACATCGATGTGACTTTATAACCTTTCTAATATCCTGTGCTAATCTTGGAAAATAATCCTATAAATATATCTGGATTACACACATTACCTGCCTGCACGTCTCTGCTTCTGCCTGCGCACACCGGCCACTGCCGGGGCCTGGGAGGTGTCGTGGCCGTGACCCCCCTGGGGCGAGGGGGAGCCAGGGGCACAGAGGCCGGGGAGGGGCAGAGCTCAGCCTGGTGGGGGGACATGGCTCACCCTGGTGCACAGCATGGGAGGGACGCAGCTGAGCCCATCACACAGCCTGCTCAGTCCCCCTCAAGCCCTTGACCCTTGCTGCCCCCCAGCCCCCCAAACCAGTCTCCATCAGCTGCCTGTTCCCAGTCCCCCTGTGCAGACCCCCAGCCCTTTCACCCTCAAATTCCCCCACCTAGTCCCCCAGACCCCC